GGAGGACATAGTACCTAGATCCATGCTATGCTATTATATTAGCCAACTGGGGAAGAAGGGGAAATGCTGGGGAGTCTGCAGCACTTGCCAATTTCTGTGGTGTAAATACTCCCACTGTGGCTGCTTTCAATCTACTAATAATTTACCCATAATGATGTAGGTCATGAAATCTCTAAATATTTAATGATTGGCTCTCGGAAGTCCTCCGCACACAACGGATGCTCCATCCTCCTTACTTTTCTCACCCTGGACATCTTTGAAGTCCCTTGGTTGCTTATTCACATCCTTATCCCTTGATTAGCAAGGACAGTGAAGTGAAAGAACATAGGAGCGGCTGACTTGGCCACCAGTGGATCTGGCAAAGGAGGCTGAAACTACTGGCTAGATGTGTTCACGAGTTTCTATTGCTCCTTATTCCTACAGATAATCAAGAGCAGACACCCTAATCAAATGTGCAAAATACCAACACACTTTCTGACGAAATATAGAATTGATGGTCATAGCCTAGAAATGTAAACGAAGAGAAAGAGGCGACGCTGGAAGAAGGGTCAAGTTCATCAAGGTGGCAGAAGGGATGGTAAGACAGGAGATCAAACCCCTTCTCTGTGCAGAATGTGGAAAATATTTTCCTGAATGTGAAAGATCATGGCAGCACTCTGGACCAAAATCCAAACAGGAAATAAGAACACCAACGAACGGAAGGGAAAAATCATTTAGCAAAAAATAATATTAAGAAGATGATGCTAAATACACCTTTATCCTTAACACTGTTGGAAACTGGGGAGATACAGGAAATTTTTATGAAATTACGTGACGGATTAAGTAGTGAAAAAAAAGTCACACTCTGCCATAGCAGAGGGGCTTCCTTGGGTGACATTTATGCTTAGACAAGAGGAAGGCAGCTGGTGGTATTTCCTTCCTTCTCACTGAGACTCTGGCTTGCCTGTCCCCTATCTCTGTATCTAGAAGCAAAACCACATGAGTAATACATCATAAAATGAGGTCCCAGTCTGGTGCATGTCCTATAAGTTAAGGATGTGATTCAAAGTGAGAATTGTCTATAAAAGCTGTTTTATTGTCGTAAACAAATGTTTATTGCAGCGAGTCCCATTCTCAGAGGCAACACCAGGCTGACCCAGCCTCCCCTGCTGTCAAGGCTCAGGATGGGGTGCGAAGGACCATCCGGCTCTGCTCCATGACTGTGGCTGACTCACTCTCTGGGCACTTGAAACTCCGGACCTTGAGAGGCCCCTCTAGCAACAGCTGTTACTTTACCTTAAAAATAAAGGTAAGTCTCCTGAACTCAAGCTACACTGAGGAAAAATTAGAAAAATCAAAACTATCTGAAGATGAGACTACAAGAAACATACATTCAGGAGTGGCACCTGTGGCTCAAGGAGTAGGGCGCCATCCCCATATACCGGGGGTGGGGGGTGGCAGGTTCAAGCCCGGCCCCGGCCAAAACTGCAAAAAAAAAAAAAAAAAAAAAAAAGAAAAGAAACATACATCCAGGTAGAAGTGAAACAAAACTATCACAGAATCATTCTTAGGGATAGACAAGCAGAAGGGAAGGACCAGAAGGTATTTTTATTCTGCTCAAATGAAGCACAACTTAACAGTGAAAAAGGAGTTTCTGATTCTTAATAAATTAAAAACATGCACATGAAACTGTGGCATTTGGAGCTGGCTACTTGTTACAAAACTTGAGGGGGAACCCAAGGGAAGAGACAGACAGATTTAATCTCAGGGTATTCTAAATCTCTCAATTACCTAACTCAAGGAGAGTATAATTACCCTCTTTCATCGGTGTGTCTACAGCCAGCAGGGCAGGAGCCAACAGGGCAACTTCATGATAGGAAAGGGGAAAATTAAGGCAGAAATTAACTGTACCAGGATGACCATGGGCAAAAGCAAGCATGGGCTCCACTGGGGAAGACAGGAGGGTAGGCAGTCCCCCCAGCACCACGGTCAGGCGTGAGTCACACACATCCAGCCAAGGCAGAGGTGAGATCATCACACAGCATGGATAGGAGGATTTGGATTTTAAAACAGCAAATAGATTAGAAATGTCGGTGAGTCCAAGTTAACACAAAGTCTAATGTGGATGGAGACATAGAGAAACCCAGGGGAAGCGGATCCTTCAGAGTAGGGGGAGGGAAGACATGGAATGGCCCCATAGGGTATTCCAAAGGCTGGTTGCTGAATTTCAGTGGAAGAAAACTGCTGTCCAGAGAACTACAGGGCTCACAAGGGGCACAAAGAAGAGTACTGACAATTTAACAAAGGATACAAGTGCGCAGCCTTTACAAATACCAAAGCTCAGGCTAAAATATCTATGTTCGAATACTGACTCGGTCATTGATTTGCTGGGTTAGGTGTGCGCAAGTCTTCTGCAGTGAAATGAAGACACTGAAATACGTGCTCTGAGAAGTGGTTTTAAGCTTTAAAATTCTAAGAAGTTAAAAATTGGGAGAGGAGAATACAGGCCTCTTAAGTAAACAAAAGGCCTGGAACAACATTCTTTTGCTCCAAAAAGTAGAAAGGACCACTTGGAGACAGAAGCTTCAGCCCAGCTGTTAGACATAACCACAGCCACTCCACCCCACCTACCCCGGGCCGAGAAGGGCATGGCCTGGTCTCAGGACATTCCATCCCTTGGATTATTTGATGACGATGACGTCTCTGTCTCCTACCCTCCTACCAGGGTACAATTTTCTAAAGGCAGAGAAAATCCTTCCCAAGAAAATAAACACTCCCAAACAACTGTCCCATTCTGTTACCTATTTGGATTACATAATTACGATGAAGTCAAGACATTCTGACGCACCAAAGAAGAACGCTCAGCTTATAAGCTGGGCTGCCTTTTTCTCCACTGTCTGAAGTTCCAGAAAATCTCCTGCTCCCTAAAAAGCAGCCACCAGTGCCCACTGTGACAGTAATGAAAGCCCTGTCCTGCCTCCCCTCTGCCCAGAACAGAAACCAAGATCAAATATTTTTAGTCTGTGGGACATACCAGACCTGTATACAATATTCTTCAACAAGAATAATAAGTACTCTCCCTAATGCCCTCAAACTGCTCTGCACAGGGAGAGAACACTGAATAACGTTCCAGGCTCTGCTGAGGATAATTTAGATAACTGTACATCTTTTTTTTTTCCTACTGCATGTCAAATGGGGCTCCTAATAATTGATATCTGGCATTAACCAGCCACCAGAGTAAAATGGTAAACTCCCTCCCCACCTACCCACCCTCCAGTTATGAGCAGCTCCCCTTTTGAGAGTGTTTGGGGGAAAAAAACCACTGGGTCAAGCTGAGAATTCCCCAGAGCACCATGCCAGTTAAGGTATCTATACTTTTCCAGTTGATCTGGTTGAGGTCACAATAAAAAGGCCCAGGGTTCCCTTTATAGCCTGCTCTAACGTGTTCATCTGGATGATGTAGAATTATGCAGCAGCAATTTGCTCTTGGTGACTCCTCTCCAGGAATAAAAAGAGCTAGGATATTCCTGGAATGCCTCTTCATTCGCAAGTCAGAAGGTGCACCTCCTCTCCTGGCTGTACTTCGCTCCTTCTGTTCTTGTGAAGGTTAAATGAGATACTATGTGTAAAGGGCTAAGAACCTGGTGCACACTCAGCTCAGTGAATAAAGGTTTGGAACTGTAAAAACTAAAACTCAAAGCGATCGTTCCTGGTGCTTATCAACTTAGTTGGGAGACTGAGACACGAGGCAACAGGTCCCACGGCACCCTTGTAGCGATGTCTGTGCTAGCCTCAGGTTTTCTCAGAACTGGTCACTTGCTAGCAGTAACACAGAACTTTTCACAATCCCACAGATACTCACACTCCCGCCCCACTCCCAATGACAGAAATAACAGCGTCTGAAACAACGAGGATAGAAACGCAAAAGACCTTCAAAGAATTTCCACAAAAAACCCCCTTGACACCGTTCACGTGGACATTTTGCAAAAAAGTCAAACATCCCCCAAACTAACATTGTCAGCCCGAGGAAGAGGATGGATAAAGCAGATCCTGAACGTCCTAATGAAAAGCTTCTGGCCACCTCCTAGAACAGACCCTAAAAGTCTAGCTCTTCTTCAAGCTTTAGGCTACAAATCAACTCTTCCTAAGGAGCATCTCACAGTGTTTTGTGTATGGGTCTGCTGTTACATAGACACGGTACGTTTTCCTTCCAGGCAAAGACCATTTTTCAACATCTTCATGAAAATAAGATATGCAATAGTGGCTTTTATTGTAACTTACAGCTGAAGTTTCTAATTCACGCAGGGAACACACAGGATACACTGGTTCGCCTTTCTGATGACACGCCATAACATATAGCTATGCAGGAACTTTTAAAAGGCAGCAAAGTAAATAATGTCTGGACTCCAGAAAAGATGGGACACTTGCAACAGTCATGAACTGTGTAGAAAGAAAGACTGGCCATTAAACTTTTCATTTTTATTTAGTATTGTGCCTTCTCTACTTGTAAAAGACCAGGCCATGTCACCATTTGTGTAGTTCCTAAATCGTGTCTTTGAAAACACAAAAGGCATCAGTGTTATGTCTCTTCAGGCTGTAAAAGACCAGGCCATTTGGCAATGCTTGTAGTTTCGAAACCAGGGGTCCTCAAACTTTTTAAATAGGGGGCTAGTGCATTGTCCCTCAGACCATTGCGGAGAGCTGGACTGTGGGCCCTGGGATGAGTCAGCAGCTAAGCAGGACAGGAAGCAGCAGCAAAAATACCCAGCGGGCCAGATAAATGTCCTCAGTGGGCCGCATGTGGCCCATGGGCCGTAGTTTGAGGACACCTGTTCTAAACCATGCTTTTCCAAATGCAAAGGGTGGGTATAACCCATAATCTTAGAGAAGTTCCAAGTCCTGTTCTATCTCTGGCTGAGTATTTGGCTTATTTTACTTGACATAATAAGTTCTTATGGCAAACCTCTATTACCATGGAAGGGCGTGTTCTCTACAACTCAAAGTAATAAGTGCAACTTGTGAAAGTCAGGGTTTTTTTTTTTATTTAATACATTCTAATCAAATAGTAACAGCAGTAAATAAACACTTTGAAAAAAAAAAAAAACAGGCAGGTATCCCCCTATGTCTGGAAGAAAATTGAGTCAAAGTATTCTACATGGTAGAAGGGAGACGTCTGCTAATGTCCATGGTTAGACAATTGAGGACAACTGGGAAATATCTAAAGCCATTTCCAAAAAATCAATGGCAACGGGTCGAGACACAGCTACTTCAAAGGGTAAAATGTCTATATCTACATTGGTTTCTACTAACAGGGATTGGGGTGCACCTGTATAGCACGACATTCTTGTCTTTAGCCTTAAAGGAAAAGAAAAAGTCTTTTCCATTTGCACCAGGTTGAAATATTTCTGAAATAAGGCTCCCTTAAAATGGATTACTACAGTACTCATTCACAGGAGAGAGTTCATACATGTAGTAAAAAGACAAATACAGGATTTCGCTTTTTTTTTTTTTGGTTGATTTGGTTAATTGCATAAAATGAAGGATAAATACTCACAGGCATGATCTGTTTAACAAAACTCCTAGGTACATCAGAATGCAAAATAGAAAATCTCCTAAAGTAGATTCTGATCACCAGGCCTGTAAAATTGAAGCAAAGCCTTTGTGAGCTCGGGTCTTACACTTCGTTAGTGGAGCTCTTTGCTTCTGGAGCTTGGACCTTTGACCTCATGGAAAGGACCCTCAGAAAGGCAAAGCATTCTGATCAATTGCTCCTTCCGCCTTGACTTGGGACATTTTATTTAGGAAGGGAAACATCACCAGGTGAAAATATTTCAGTGGGAGGGGGCGCTTTAAATACCTAGCTACCGCTTTGCATGTTTAAATTAGATGGACTTTAGCTGTTCTTAGAAAGGATTCCATGTAGTTAGTTATCCAGAGCAGTCACTCAAGTTTTGGTTCTCTTTTACATAGCTGCATTCGGAGATAACTCTATGTGAGGCAGGTTTAGAAAAAGAGAAACACTTATACCTGGAATTTATACTCTTCCAAGTAATCTTTTAGTCTTGTTGGTAAAGGCAATCCCCAGATGGTACTGGTACATTTGTTAATGGTGAGTCTACAGAGGTGCTGCAGAGAAGGGGCTGACGTGTAGAGTGGTCTGGTCAGGTAAAGGTGAACGGTGCCGTTCCGGGGGGCTTCTGGGCCTGTCCGCTTATCCTTGCACATTTGAACATAGTAGTCGATCAGATGAACCACACTGTCAAACTGCTTAAGCTTGGACTTGACGCAAATGATAGAGTCCAATCTGAATTTCCCTTCTTGGTATTCAATGCGTAGATTAGTTGGTCCAGCTGATGTTTTAACAGATATTGTTAGTAGGTAGTCTGAGTGCGAGCTATCTCTAATCAAGAAAGTTCCTTCTGGTGCCTCTTTTAATTTCTCTTTGGCTTCATTAACAGTCATACTTCCCCAGTACCATCCTGGGGTTTTTGTTCAAAAAGAAAAAGAAAAGAGGGTAAAATAGTTATTATAAGAATCTTTAGAATAGAGCGAGTACTTGGCAATAACTTTTCTAGCTCTTAAAGAAAGGTATGTGAGAAGTTTACCAGGAGCCACAACGAATACTTCTGGTAGGAATTTAATGAAAAATGTGGGTCCGTTTTACAAACACAAACTGTGCCAGTTTTCTTTATTTAAAAAAAATAATAACTTTAACTTCATCTTCTATGAACTATCTTTAAGATTTTCTTCTAAAGAACCAAAAGAATATTTGCAACATGACACAGGGGCTGGCAAAGCATAACACTTTTAATACTAAGTAAAATAAAGATTAAACTAGAAGTTAGAAATAAAAGCCATGCTCTTAATCCAACTCCAGTAATTCCAAAAGAGTAAAAGCAGAAGCAACTTTTGGGGATGGCTGGTATCCCTGCCCTCTTCCCCCAAAGACTCTACGAGGTTGTAAGCTCTAGAAAGCACCGCTATTTACTTTTACTTGTTTTAAAAGTACACTTCTGGTACCATAGCTTCTCTTCGCTGCTTTGATTACAACTATCTTATCAGTCCATTCACTGGAAGCCCAGTGAGTAATTGGTAATTCAAGTTTACAGTCTTTGCTAAACTCATGGACTTTGCCCTAATCCAAATTCTGTCTGTTGGTCTCCCCAAGAATATCCAGTTGATCTTTCCGCACCATCTCCCCCGCCCATCCGGTTTTCAAAAGAGACTCAAAGACACTCTGCTTTCAAAAAGTTTAAACAATGAACACCCTCCCCTCGCCCCCGTTTGCTGGGATACTCGCAATCTGCCCGACCCCTCCGCGGAGGGAAAGCTGGTGGCCCGCCTGGGAAGACCGGAACCGCAAGTCACGCTCCCGCAGTTGCTATCAAAACTTCAGCTTTGCCCCAAACGTAGGTTTTTAGGATCCAGACTTTTGAAAGCCAGAATTATTTGCCAGATATTTAATTTTATTTTCCTCTCGAATGCCCAGGGACGATACTGAGACGCGCAAAGCGCCTGTCTGCACTTCAAGCTGTACCCTGGGCGCGCCGGCCCTAGAAGCCGCGCTGGGCTGGGGATCCGCAGCCTGCGCTCTTCCCGGCTCCCAGGCATCCGCCCTCGCGGCAATCTGTCAGTCCAGGACTTGGCCGCCAAGATCCCGGGCTGCAGCGGCGGCACCGCCCGGCAGCCGGATGCGGCTGAGGCTGCGGGGAGCCCTGTGTCCGCTCGCTGCCCTTGCACCCCGCGCAAAGAGAGGCGCCGGGCGCTTTTCCTGGGGAGGGTTCGAAACTGAGCACCTAACCCTGAGAAGCCGCGCTAAATAGTAAAAGGTTTTTCCAAGAAGCCCTCTTCGCGCTCTGCTTTCCCCCGGGCTCCTGAGACCCTGGAGAACCGCTTTGCTTTCGCATTCCCAAGTATCCAGGGACGTGCGGACGTCCTCTGCGAGTCCTTCCCCCACCCTACCCCCGGATCGAGGACCGGAAGAGAGGGGACGTGTTTTCACCCCATTCTTTGCTTCCCAGGTCTGCTCCACGTCCCAGCTGTGCTCCCAGCCAACGCAGCCCCCTGCCGCCTCTTTCTGGAGGCCCCTCTCCCGCACGCGCCGCGGCCGCTCAGTTCCCTACCTGTTTGACCCAGCTCCCGCAGGGCCTTCGCCAGACGCGCCGCCTCCGGGGATGGCTCCTCCGTTGACCCCGCCGTCCCCCACTGGCTCCGCGTCCCTTCCGCGCCATTCCCGGAGGGTTCCAGGCACCGCAGGGTCATGGGATAAATATCACTGCGGCAAAGACAGGTGACTGCCCGAGCTGGGGTCAGAGAAGGGCTCCCGTCCTTCCTGGAAGTCAATGGGAACCCCAAAACGAGTCCCTGCTGAGTGCCCGAAATGCTGGCAGAGGGGAAGGAGATAAGGAGCTGCCTGTTCTTTCTCCCGAGGTCCTGGCAGACTGATAGCAAAGTCCCTCGCAGACGTGGTCACCCTCAGATCGCCTGCAAAGAGAAAGTGTGTGTGTGTGTGGGGGGGGGGGGGTTGGGTCAGTCCTAACTGGACCCCTGCGGTTTGGGTGGGGGTGGGGAAACAGAGACGTGGAAAATCCCAGGGACTTCTCCGCCTCTTTGCTCCTGCACCATTTAACCCCAAGCATTCAGTTACCGCCGGGCCCAGCTCTAGGGAAAGGAGGATAAAGAGAGAGCAGAGATCCAAGACTCAAGAGTTGGCCCGGGAGGTCTGGAAGGGCGGAGGTAGAGTGGACAGGATGAGGGTGAATGGGGGTGACGTCCAGCACAGGGGCCTGCTTGCTGAAATACCAGACTAGCAGCCTGGGAAGAGCAAGTAGTCTCCTCAGGGTCCAGTGGGAATAGGCCCTTGTCAAGGACAAGCAGAAAAATTTTAAAAGGAAGAACAGTAGAGATCCCCAAATTGGCACTCCCATTTCACACCCCGCGCAGCCCGAGGGCCCCTGGGAGGAAGCAACAACACACAAACTTGGTTCTCCGCCCTAAAGCGCTGCGGGGCTCCCAGGGCGCCGGCTGCCAACCCAGGGTGCGGAGGTGCTGTAGGTCGCTGGATCGCTCCCACCCACAGGCTGCTGGCTCCCCTCCCCACGCTGCCCGGTGCCCGCTCGGGGGCGCCGCGGCGGTAGCTCCCGGACCCGGCTGGCCGCCGCTACTCTTGCCGCCGCAGGCGCTGTCGAGGAATCAGCCCGAGCGCGCAGCCCAAGCTGGGACTCGGAGTCCAGGCTGGGGACGAGCGAGCCGCAGCTAGTGCTGCGGGACGCGCAAGTAACTAACACGGAGCCCTTACCTCGGCCGCCGCCTCCGCACCGAGCAGCCTCCCCAGCGGACATGGGGCGGGGGCATCGGGAGGGGCCCAGGAGAGGAGGGGTGTCTGCCCGATTTTCCCCTGTTGATATTTAATTTAGGAATGAGATACCGGGGGATGCGACCGGCCCCGCGTTCGACGGCGGCGGCCAGAGTTCTCTGCGCAGAGTATGGACAAAAGCCCCGGGAAACACTGCCTCAAAACCCTCTCCCCAAGCTCCGGCACCCCCTCCGGACTCGGACTCGGCCCACCCCCAGGCAGCCGCCTGGTTTCCCTTCCGCAGCGACCAAGGAGATGGGAAGGAGGGAGGAAGGAAAGGAGGGAGGGCGGGAGGCTGGTGGGGAAGAGCGGGAGATCAGGTTATTCGGATTATTAATTTGGTAGGTTTTTTTTTGGTGGGGGGAGAACTCCGGACTCTTCCCGACGCCAAGAAGGAACCGGAGAAGGCGGGCAGTATCGCCCAGCCGCAGGGCACAGCTGCCACCCCGACCCTCTCCTCCAGCGCTCCCAACTGCGGAAGCCCCGGCCGCCCGCCGGCGCCCGCGGCCGCGCCCCGCCGCCCTCCCCAGCGCCGCTCCTCGGGGCGGAGCCTTCGGGCTCCCCCCTCCAGTACCTGCCGCGGGCGCCCGAGCTGCCGGCGCTGGGGATCCTGAGGCTGTGCGCCCGGGACCTCGGAGCGCGCCGTCCGGGGCCCGCGCAGCGCCGGCGGCTGCGGGCGAGAGGGCTCATGCTTCCGGGGAAGCCCTGCCCGCGAGCCGCGGCGGCGGCGAGACTTGGCAAGAGTTAAACGTCTGTCCCCGGAGCCGTGTGTGCGCGCGACTTCCCAGCTCGACGCGCCTCCCTCGCTCCCCGCCTCCCTCCCCAGGCCGCGCTCCCCTAGAGCCCCGCCCGGCTGCTGCGGAGGCCGCTTTCCAGGAACTTTCCAGGAATCCGCCTCACGTGACCGCGCCCGGGCTACCGCTTTAAAGAGGCTCCGGCGCTAAAAAGCCGGCTGCAGGGAAGACCTGCTGGGAGCGCTCGGGCGCGGGGGCAGGCGCTTTGGACGCCTGAGACCCCACCC